TTTACCACGAAAAATCCTAAAGTCCTAAAGTCCTAAAGTGAACCGGTGCCCCCAAAATCCTAAAGTCCCCCGCTTTGGAAAATAAAGCGGAGACCGATGAGGAAGCGTTATTGATTAAGCTGGTCATTGTCGGTAATAAAGATCTTTTGACTAACAACAGCTTAATCAATTAAAATCATTTCAAAGTGCCACTTTGGCAGAAAAGGTGCACGCATATAACTTATTACTAATTTTGTCTCTATGAAAAGTGACTTTCCTTCCCAACTATTTTAACTTAGTTACTTCCCCACGCTAATGATTACTTTTTCTTTAGAGAAGTAAGTTTTAGTATATTGGTGGCCAGTAAATTATTGATTTAGTTAGTACTTTCTACCTTTGAAAGTTCCTTATCCATGTGATCAACGAATCCCCAAATGAAAAAGTGACCATCGATATGTCCATAATAAGTTTTATGCATACGTGCTTTGGTGCTTTCCACAAGAAGAAAAGAGGCGATTTAGTAACTTTACCAAAATGCAAAAATAAAAGTTGATGACAGTAGTAAACTTCAGAAATAGCAGTGATGAAGAATTTGCACTTGCACCCCTAAAAAATTCCAATACACACAAGGTACCTTATTCTACTAAAGCATTCTTGGACAATTCATACTATGCTCATCAAGTGTCGATACGTGTCCTCGAATTGCCGCATGTTAGAATGCTGAATTCGAAAGGTATACATCCTTATTCACACACCAGTATTGCCTGTGCCTGACTGAACAAGAAAGCGTGACATATAATTGTCCAAGAAGAAAGGAGACTAGTTAGGATTTCAACAAGAGTGAAACCCCACGCAATGTCACTTCTTTTCTTTTTGTTAAATATTTACACAATTACTAAAGTGATATCAAGGAAAATCTGAGAACAACTATTTATACATGAAGAAGCTTTATCGTGGATATTACTCTAAGATTTCCCATAGGCCATGATTGATTGATTTTTTTCTTCTAGATCGGTATCAATACCAAGAAAAGAACATTATGACTAAGATTGACTCGGAAACATCATAGCAATGCTCGAGACCCGTGCATCACGGGCCTCACCGTAACTTTCAGAGCGCGGACACTGAGGACTATTGGGGTCTAAATGACTCTCTTTGTCTTGACGCAGGATATGGTCCATCATTTCCTGCACTCAGGCAAAACTACCGCAACAAAACTATAAAGAGTCAAATTGTCTCTCAACGTGTCATCGGTGGCATATAATCCCGTGAACATCTCTAGGAAGAGAATGACGTAACTATAAACATTGCCTTCTCTTGGGACCTCGCACCTAATGGCGTATTCTGCCACACATTTAGGCTCCGTTCGTTTGACGGAAAATATTCTCATTTTGAAAAATATTTTCCCGGAAGTCATTTTCCTAGAAAATGTTTTCCCGGAACATAATTTTCCGGTGTTCGGCGACCAATATGAAAAAGTTTCGAAAAATATTTTTCGCCGGCGACCGGGCGGGCGGCGGCGGCCGGCGACCGGGCGGGCGGCGGCGGGCGGCGGCCAGGGCGGCGAGGTACTGCGACCGGCCGGGCGGCGGCGGGCGATCGGCGTGCAGCCGGCGGCCGGGCGACCGGCGGTCGGCGGCGGCGGCCGGCGGCCAACGGCGGTGACCGGCGATCAACTTCCTCTCCCGCGGAAAACATTTTCCCTCCCATGGGCAATTTTGCCTTCAATTTGGGGGAAAATGATTTCCTCTTTGTGAAAAGACGAAATCATTTTCCTCAAAACAATGAAGGATTTGGGGGTGGGGAAGGAAAATGTTTTTCCACGGAAAACATTTTCCGCCCCCGAACACCGGAAAACGCGGAAAATGTTTTCCGGAAAAATATTTTTCCGCAAACGAACACAGCCTTAGACCATAGTGCATACGAAATTAGGGGTGCGGATCATCAAAATATAATTTTATTGGGCAGCGGTTAGAGAGGATATAGATGAAGTCGGTGTATCATAGACACAAAGAAAACAACAAGACGAAGGAAACACAAAGAAAGAATATGTCTTGAATTTGAACTGGTAAATAAAACCCGACCCAAATAAAGTATGCGGAAAAATATGGAAATTGTATCTGTGCCGAAGTCACGATCAAGAATAAAGATTGTCACCGCGTTGGAATCAAGATAAGAATGGAAGTCCTCAACTTGGATTTTCATTGGGTGCAATACTGTCTTAAAATACACGGAATCTACTTCCCTGATTGAAGTTGGTTAAGAAACTAAAACAAGGGAAAGTCCAACGCTGGCCAAATAGGAGTTAAGACCCTCTGTACACGGAATTCTTTTCTCCATGTTGAAGTCGGGTCACTGATGGTTCCCTTTGACATGTGTCTATACAAGTGCGTGTATTAAGGGATGGATGACTAGATGGCTCTCCATATGTTGACTTCGAGTCAACCAATGCCCCCAAAACCCAAAGCCCTCCCACTTTGGACAAAAAACCGAAGATTGATGATAAGGGAAGAAGTGTCGGAAAAAGTCTTAAATTTATCGTATTTATGTCAATTTAGTCCTAAATTTTTTAGTGATGTCAATTTAATTCCAAACATTTTGATACAGTACCAATTCAGTCATTTCGGCTAATTGTGGTCGGATATTATTGACGTGGATGCCGGCCGACCTACGTGGCACTGCCGGTGTGGATCTGCCGACGCTGACGTGAATAACTTTTAATATTTTAATATTTTTCAAATTATTTATTTATTATTTTTCTTTTCTTTTCTTTCTTTTAGTGCACTGGCTGGAGGAAGAAGGAAGGGAAGGAAAAAAGAAAAAGAAAAAGAAAGAAAAGGAAAAAAAAGAAAAATAAATTAAAAAAAGCTCAAGCTCAATCTCTCTCTCCCTCTCTCTCTAGCCAGACAAAAGTCTTTGGAAATATTCTGAGCATATCTTCGAGCTTGGGCCGTAGAACGTCTCGTTATTACATATTGACCGGATTCCCGTCAGTTCGGCTCATGTCAGTTTAGGGCGGGTTTGTTTGGACTTTTAAAAATTCATAAAACTATCTAAATTTTTAAAAGAATTGCAAAATCTATAAATGTTTATGTATTGTGAAATTCTAAAATTAGAAAACAATCCAACTATGTGTACCACAGAAGTTGAGGAAAACGAAAAGTTAAAAGTAAAAATTACTCCAAACAAACTCGATTTATCGTGTATGAGATATCGCGTTTGATAAAATCAAGTCAAATTTACGTAATGTTCATACAAAGGAGAAATACTTACATGGGTATAACAAAACTACAACGGGAAATTTTCTACAATACCATTGACCAAGATGCGATGATATAAGAACGAAAAACACAATTATAAAATGATTACATTGCTTCCACCCCGTTTAATCTCTTCAGCCTAAAGAGCCCACCAAAGCATCAATTCCAAACTATGTAAAGACCTCAGATTTGGCTCCTCCAACACCCTAATCACAAACTTCTATCTACTCTAAGAATAATAAACCCAATTCACGAACTTTCTCCTTCTTCTTCGCCAGAGTTACATAGAAAAAGAAAATAAAAACTGATTTCCAACCCAATTCGAAAACCCAATGCCTTCGTTACCAAATCAAGAAACGTCAACGGAAACAAAACGGAGAACTTCCGTATGTATAGATCTTTCAATTGGGGCAAGACAAAGGGCACACTCAGATCCAACCACACCGCAATATTTATGAGCTAGAAGCCTAGAACTTGGGGAACGGAAGGCGCGAGGGTGACTGAGAGAAGCAGGAGAAGAGAACTCCGTTTGAGTGACATCGGTGAGGGATGGCACGAACGTCAAAGTTTGCAGTTTTGAGGAGTCACCTGGAGGTCAAAATCAGGCATGGTCTTCTCTTTGCATGTAGTGTGTATGAGGAGAAATTCCTAGGACCGGGGCGCAATTATAACCATTGATTAAGTAAGACTCGCGTGCGTGGGCTCACATAATTAACGATTGCGATCTATCCAGCTCCACTTGCAAAGATTGGCCACATTTGAGTGTGTCCACGTTTGAAGAGCAAATTCCATTTTTTAGTCAGCAAACTTCAATAGATTTTACAATTAGTCATGCATATTAGTGGACCTAAATCCGTTAGTGTATAAACTGAATTAATATTCCTTTGCAGTTAACGTACTCTCATTAAAATTTGAATAATTTCTTGAGAAATTGCTTACGCGACAATCACACGACATTAGCATACAGTCGAAGTCAGCTCAAAGTGAAAAGAAAATTAACATGGGGTATCCACTGAGACTCCATGACACATGGCGATCATGTCTGTATTTTCTACAAAAATTTGCTGAACTCCGATCAAAACACATTAATTGCAAATGTTGAAAATTCAATAGACTGGGGGTTAAAATCAAAGTGCAATGACCTCATCCTGAGATACATAAAACTTTATTATGAGGCTTTCAAAACAAAAGCTAGCTCGAAGTTTTGGTTTGCTAAGCTCCTGCCTCCCGGTTATGGTTTTAACTTGAAAATTAGTTTTTTAATGCTTCAACTCGTTTCGAGAATTCTCTTCCAGTTATCAAAGCTCTTTCAAAAGCTACAGATGAATTTTCAAGGTAAATTTTGGTCTGGGTCGCCGCAACCGGCCGAGCTTTGTTCAGGTATGTGCCAACCATCCCAGCACAACTTGGATGCCGATGTTTATGGAGTTTTGGTCATTGGAAACTTAGAGGGTTGGGTAAGGAACGAGGAACGTGACAAGACGAAGAATATGAGTCTTCTCTTCAGATAGTGAGAGCATTGCTATTGATATCACATGCTTCAAATTATTTCCATCGTCATAATGAAACGCCTAAAGTTTGTTCTGGTCTTAAGACGATGAGGACACGATCATATGTTTCGGTGATTTCTGTTTGGCTAGAATTTTTATTAGACACTGGCAACACATTTTGTATTCATCAAACAAGTTCTATCGTGATAAGAAATGAATGTACGAGAGAAGGAAAAATTTTGGCAAAAAAAGAGTGATCAAAGTGACATACTTTAGAAATAGCAGCTCTGCAGATCCATTCCCCATCAGAAAAAAACACAAATAGCACAAGTTGCACGATCAGAATTGGGATAGACTAGTTATGCTAAACCCTTATTGCGAAGTTCCTGCTTCACATATCAATCGCCCAGATCTGTTTCTCGATTTAATGCATACGAGGAAGCTGAATCTTATAGTCTTTTCTTCTCCAAACTGTCATTTTTTTTTGTTCCCAAACAGAGCATTTGCTTATTTAGGTTGAAGCTGAAAGAGATACTTGGCTTGACTGCAACATCACTCATCTCGAACTGTCTCGCGCAGCTTCAGCAACGCATAGCGATTCCTAGTGAAGCTGTAGAAAGAAACCAAGCACTTCTCTGAGTTAGAAAGCCTGGACAAAAGCTAGGATTTGCTAGGGGAAAAACATAAATTTTCAATAAAAAAGGAGACATGTAGGATTTATGTGAATCAACTTCCGCACACCGTTACTGTGTCATGTCAACTTCAGAAAACTACTATTCATACATTGAAAAGGCTTGATTATGGATATCAACTGAAAATAGCCGATAGTTGATTAATTTGTATTCGTCTAAATGAGCTTCATACCCATAAAAGAACTGAATATTTGAGACTGATCTTCTAAAATATCATAACAATTCTCAAGACTCTGCATCATGGGCCATATGCTAGTGCAGTAATCTGTGCAGATGAGGAATGATAATCAACTATTATCTCCTAACAGAAACGACTGCTTCTCTCCAGTTACACATTTTCAAAGTCCAATTCGGACAACCTTTATATGGCCTGACTTTCCCGCGCTTCGATTTGGGTCGGATTTCATCCATGTTCTCAAACTCGAGACAAATTTTAAAAAGTCGAGACAAATTTTAACAGAAATTACTAAAAGGTCTCTGCACTGCAGCGCACATGCTAGCTTGATACACATACAGGTGAGAAATGATAATCAACTATTGCCTTCTAATGAAAATGCATGATCGATGAACATGTCCGTTTGCACTAGCATATGCAAAACTAAATATTTAGGACAAAAGAGAGGTTAAGAAATTATCGTATCACCTGCGGTAGTTCATCTTGTTCACGTAAACCCAAAGCAAATAGCTTTTCCCTAATCTTTTGCAGTTGATTTGCAACACTACTGATACTCATCCGACTTCCAGTCACTTCATTGGAACAAGTGACTCCAATATTATATACCATAACCAAACACTCTTGAAATATGACATTGCTTTCAGAAAGACAATGCTGAGGACAATTGGGGTCAAGGGCACTCCCTCTTTCCAGAAGCAGAATGTGATCCGTAACTTCCAAGGCTCGTTCGGGCAAAGCTTCCGCAACAAAACTATGGAGAGTCAAATTGTCCCCGAATTTGTCATCGGTGGGACTCAATCCTGTGAACATCTCTAGTAAGAGGATGCCATAACTGTAGATATCGCCTTCTCTTGAGACCTCGCATCCCATTGCATATTCTGCCACACATTTAGATCATAGTGCAGATGATATTAGGAGTGCTTATCAACAAAAAGAATGTAGAGCTCATATCATTAGAAAAACTAAAGAGATTACCTGGTGGAGCATAACCAATTGTCCCTCTCAAGCCCATAGAGCTCATCTGCTTAGCTACGGTATCAAGGGATGATCCAAGGAGGAACTTAGCCAATCCAAAATCGCTCACATGCACGACCATCTCATCATCCAAGAGGATATTGCTTGGCTTTAGATCACAATGAATAATGGGGATATGGCACTGGTGATGAAGATAATCCAATGCATAAGCAACACTAGTAGCAATGTTTATCCTCCTCATGAAATTCAACTTTTTCCGAAGCTCAATCTCGTGAGATGAGGTTGAGTTTGGGTGTAGCCACCGTTCCACGCTTCCATTGTTCATGAAGTCATATACTATGGCTTTAAAATCATTTCCTTGATAATCAGCACCCGAGCAAATTGTCAATATCTTCAAAAGATTTCGATGTCTGATGTTCTTTAATGCCTTGCACTCAACTATGAAGCTCTTAAGTGCACCGTGACGAACTAAATCAAGCACCTTCACAGCAACAACAATCCCATTATCCTTGAGTATACCCCTGTAAACAGAACCAAAGCTTCCAACTCCGATCAAATTCATTGAAGAAAAATTATTGGTTGCTTTTAGGAGTGCTCCATAAGATATGTTCGGAGTTGAATCATCCATTGAACTAGAAACCGGTTCATTTAATTTCTTCTTTGACCAAAAATTATGTATAAAAGCAAGAATAACAACTACTAAAAGAACTCCGAATATAATAGAAGTGAACAGTATCACTACATTGATCTTTCCGCTCTTGGAGCTTTTGGAGATGCAGCTATGGAGGTTGAATTCTGGCAGTCCACCGCAAAGCTCATTGTTCCCAATAATAGCAGTAGCGGTAGCATTCTTAAAGACTCCTTCACGTGGTAGCATGCCTTCAAACTTATTGTACGATAAATTCAAATGTTTTAAGGAACGAAACACCGATAAGAATTCTGGAATCTGACCCGACAAATTGTTGCATGACAGATCTAGTTCTTCAATGCCTCCCAACGATCTGATTGATTGCGGGATTGACCCATGGAAGAAGTTGCCCCCCAACTTTAGTGATGTCAATGAAGTGCAGTCACCTAAACTACTTGGGATTTCACCAACCAACAAATTGTTCGAGATGTCCAACGCAGTCAAAGTTCTCATGTTGCCAACTTCTGTGGGTAGAACCCCAGTCAGATGGTTATGAGACAAGTCCAACATGATCGCTAATGACGAGAGACCGATGAGTTGTGGGGGTATAGCACCACTGAGATTGTTATTTGATAGATCGAGCCGTTGAAGAGACTGGCAGTTAGATAGGTGCGACGGAATTCTCCCATGAAAGTTGTTCCCAGAAAGGAGTAGTAAAATCAACTTGGTTAGATTTCCCAAAGATGATGGTATAGTCCCTACCAGGTTGTTATCACCTAGCTGAAGTATCGCTAGATTTTGTAGATTCCCCAAATTTAAGGGGATGACACCTGAAAATTGATTGTGATTCATAACTAATATTTCCAGGTTGACCAAATTCCCGATTTCTTCTGGAATCTTACTAGATATTTGATTGTCCATTACAATAAGTTTTGTGAGAGTGGTGGATAAATTACCTATGCATTTAGGTAATACCCCACCAAACTCGTTCTCGTGAATAAGCACGTCGTCTAACTTGGTGCTATTAGTCAACGAGCAAAGGAAGCTCAAATCTTCAGGCCTTCCCCTTCCAAGCTGATTTTTATAGATGCGAAAGCAACGAAGCTTATACAAATTTTCCAAAGAAGGTACTTTCCCAGAAAATCTGTTCATATCAAGTTGAAGCACTGCTAGCTTCGTGCAATTTGATACCGATGGAGGAATCGGCCCCTCCAATTGGTTCTCGAAAACACTTAAAAAATCAAGGTCTAGGAGTTTGAGGCATATGCCTGCAGGAAGAGTCCCATGTATCATGTTGCCTCCAACATCAAAGACAGTGAGCGAAGAGAGATTGAGTAGCGAAGATGGAATTGTACCTGACAATTTGTTTATTCCCAAGCCAATCCGTTGCAAGTTTGTCAGGTGGCCTAGAAATTGGGGAATGCTCCCGCCCAAGTTGTTCCGGGTTAAAATAAGACTCTCTAGTGAAGACAAGTTCCCAATGGAGAAAGGCACACTCCCGGTCAAACTATTAACAGACAATGTGACCATTCGTAGGTTCGACGGTGAACCGAGCTCTCCAGGAATCTCTCCAGTTAGTTGGTTGAATTGAAGAATGAGTTTGACAAGGTTAGAGCAACCCGATATGTTTTTGGGAATTTCACCGACCAATGAATTGTTGTCTAGTCGTAAGACACGAAGGCGGTGCAATTGGCCGACTTGCGGAGGGATTTCATGATAGAGACTGTTGTTTTGGAGAAACATTTCCCTTACAAAACTGAGATTCCCAATATGAGGAGAGATTGATCCGGAAAGTGCTTGTGATGACAAGTCCAACACTGTGACTCTCCGGTGCCTCCGACCACACGTAACGCCATACCACTGGCAAAATTCAGTGCTATTGTTCCAAGAGTTGAGCACACCAAAAGGATCTCCGGCTATACTGGCCTTAAATTCGAGCAGTGCCAGTCTGTCTATTTCATTGGTGGTGGACAAGACTTGGTTAAAGCACAATGTAAGAACAATACCAAGAAGCAAATGGCATGATTGACGCTCCACAAAACTCATGCTTACGAGTTTCATAACTCAAAGCCCAAGGAAGCAAGCAAATATGAAAGCAAGGCAAGAAGAAACAAGAGGCAGGATTGGTGCTAATGGAAACTGTGAAGAGATTTATATGAATGTGTCGATTTCTCTAAACTGCTTTTCGAGGCGACTCAGTAGTCATGGAACCGCTTTTTTTTTTCTTTTCCTCTTTTTTTTTACTCAGTGGTAATTAAAGCGCTTTGTCTTTTTGATACGTATCGTGGGGTGGAATTCTTCCTTTTCTTCCCTTTTTTCTTTACACAGTAGTTTCTTGCCCACTTGCCCTGACTAAAAAACAAAACAAAAAAGAAAAAGCTCCGCCCCCTTGCAAATTGAAGAGAAATTCCTCGCTCGCTTAATAATTAATATCTAAAAAATGATGGAACAAGGGCTGGCAATTTGAGCCTTACCAATAATGCCAATGTTCTTGGTATCGTCCAAAAATCTATCAATTATATGCATAAACCATGGATCCGTGAGTCCCACAAATTTCGAAATTGATGATTGCACGCGGTTCATGAAATCCGGGTGAGAGTATGCCCCATATTAAAAGTGGAGATGTGTGAGAATCCTGACTTGTCGGGATTAAAATGGAGACCGCTGCTTTATGACATAAAATGGAGACTCAAAAGGTCACCGCTTTGATACATCCCAAAGTTATTACAAAAAAATTAACCTTGCATTATGAGATAGCGTTATTCCAACGAATCTCTGTGCACCATTGCCAAAGCAGAGGCAAAATCCTTCCATTAGAAGCGGTTCCTGTTGATTAAATTATGCTATGATCTCCACTACCTATGTAAAGTACCTCGCATACAGCAAACAGAACCCACTCATATTCGAAAGAAGCACGACACAACCAGAAGCCACCCACAAGCACCCTCAGCATCAAATCGTTCTTTCCACATTTCTCTTCATTGGTCATCGTCATTCATCATTAATTTGGTGGAGACAGACATATAGCATGTGAAAAAGTCAATTTGAGTCGATAAAAAACTACATAATTATGGCATTGTAAAATGTATAATCCTAATTGTCACTTACATTTTTTACTTGTTGAAATGAGCAAACCCCCATTACATTTAGAAAAAAAGAATTTAAGAACGGAAAATACATACCTCAACCTTAATCTTTACTTTCATCATAATCCATGGAAATAGTAATGAAAATTCAGTTATTTATAAAATACAAAATATGAAGAAAATATATCAAAAAAGTGTATTTACTCTTATTATACCTTGGGACCTTGCAAAGGATTTTTTTTTTTTAATATCATCTTTTTAAACAGATTAGCAACTCGGAACTTTTTAAGAACATTCATTATCAGTGGTTGGATACTGTCAAATAGAATTTCAAAGAAATTGATTTATGCAATTTCATTGCAACAGTTGTCATCGCAAGCCTCCTTCCTGCATTTGTAAAACATTGTTAATGTCAGAACGTAAATGGACAAACTTCTCTATAACTTAATTAGTAAAAATAATCATTATGAAGGAAGAGAAAACTTTACCATGATTTCTTCAAATGGCTCCGTGACGTTCTTATTTTTAATCTTAAATTACGAATTTAATAGCTTGTGGGCTACTTCGGGACGTATACTATTACAAAAGATTATAAAAAAAAATAAAATAAAAAAGATAGCGTGCCACACACCAAGGTCTACTTTTTAACTTTCTCGGTCTTTAAAGCCAATGTGAACCTCGACCCAAAAATATAAAAAAAGTCAATGTGAAACGGAGAAATTATAGAAAAGTTGGAGTCTAAAATCAAACGAAAGAGACTTCCAGCTTTTGGCGTGGTCGTCACTTGTCAGAATGGAGTCATTTGGATGTGGGATTCACAAAGGACTCCTGTGTCTTTTGACTTATGAGAAGCAACACCGTATGCGGTCCGGCTAATTTATTTTCCTTGGGGAATTCACATTAGTTTATGAGGTATAATTTCTCAATTTCTCTCGAACCAGATAAAATATTGTTTTTAATAGACAAGGAGAGATATGAACGTTATGCGTCATCATCGTAGATTATATTGTTCACTTATTGTGAAATTTGGATCGAGCTCCTCGGAAAAAACTGGCCCCTACAGCCTTTCTACAATGCCTTGGGCTGCCCAAGGCAAAATTATTAAACTCATCACGATAGGTTGAATGATTGATGATGATCGTTAGATATTTATTGACAACCATTATCAGTTATTGGATCAACGGTGGCGTTTGTTTTATCCCGATAACTTTGTTGTGAATTAGCCCACAACATGGCAAAAATGCCCATAAATATTTTACATTCTGTGAGATAAAATGAAAGCTCGCTTTTCTTATTTTCATTCGGATGTTGTTTCCAATCATCTCCTTTTCCCATCGTTGTTTTCTTTCTCTTACACGACAATGAAGGCAGAAATTTTGACAATTCTCACGGAATAAGAGTCGAGCCCTCGCTAGATCCACGAGGGCTGCCCTTGCTCGGGCCGCAAGGATCAAACCCTTGCCTGTGGCCAATCGCCGGCCATAGGCAAAAGGAAAAGAAAAGATAAAAAAAGGAAAAAATCAGAAGATTTTTTAAAAAATGCAATAATTGTTCAGCTCAATGCTGGCCACTCCACGTAGAATGGCCAGCGGCCAGCCGGTGTCCAAATTAGCGATTTCCGGCCAAAATTGGCTATAATGACTAAATTGACAAATCGTCGAAAAGTTTAGAAATAAATTGGCACAATTGAAAGGTTTATGATTAAATTGCCAAACCGTCAAAATGTTTATAACTAAATTGGCACAATTGAAAGGATTAAAACTAAATTAGCCACCGCAAAATAGGTTTAGAACTTTTTAGATAATTATCCCAACTATGTAATATTATGGCTCAACCATAAAACTCTAATCAACCTAACTTCCTTATTATATTTTTATAGACCCTCAATGAATCGTTGATGCTTTCAATTGCCGGAGTAGATCATCCCTCGCCGATGTTCCTGATTATTCTTGGTTTGAGAGAGAGAGAGATTATCTGGTGAAGCATAACCAATTGTCTCTCTAAGCCTCACTAAGCTCATTTGATTAGCGAGAAGAGAACTAGGAACTAGACCGGACTACGTCGATGGAAGTTTGCCGGAACTTCATGGACCACTCGACCTGCATTTCTTGTTGGTTTTAAGTACCTGAAGACGGCCTCCTCTTGCTACTTGACACTTTCACGAAAGTTTATTGGATAAAGTCAATTTATAAATGACAACGGACAGAACCAATAAAGGCGCGCGATGTGAGATGACACGACGGTGTAGGAAGTGGATCATCAAAGCTCTCATACATGCAAGAGACTACTGTCGTTGGAAATCAAGGATTATCACTCCAGGGATTTTAACCGGTCTTTGGTGACAGTGGTTTTGGATAACGAAAGAGAAACCAAAGGTTATCATGCCTTGCATTACTTCCTAAATCATTAGGCAAATGCCTTTGGCGCCCAGTCCATCTGTATAACTCCAAGCAAGCAATCAGTCAGATCTCAAATGATAAAATGATAGAACCTTATGCCTCGTTCGGTAAAAAGCATTGAATCTGATTCCTATTCGGCGTAACTTTCAGGAAGCTATAGTTGGATTGAGAGAGAGAGAAGATATGAAGCAGAAGCTAAAGCAAGCGGGTGAATGTGAATGTCTTGCATTATGCAGATCAGCTGCTATTTCTCACGCTCAACAGTATGCTTTTCTAGATACTCATATTGATATAGCATACAACAATTTGCACTACCAGGCAATAGCATTATGACTATCTGTCCCTTACTATTTCCTTCCTATGTGTTTGCCGAATGTCTGATTTTGGTAAGACAGACTAGGTAACTAAAATATATTAACTGCTCCGCAGCATACTAATTCTCTAATGTATGACTTTCTAACACAACTCAGACGTATGTCTTAACAATCTCCCCCTCATGTATGAGTACATTGAGAGTGGCCACCAATCAACCCCAACTCCAAGACATTGGAGAAATCACCAAGAAAGAACCCAAGTCCGAGCCCGTTAAACCCACCTTCACTTAAAAACTTAAGCCAATGAATTATAAGCCAACTCAGATATATTAACGACTCCACATCACAACAATTCTCTGATATGGAACCTTTTTTAACACAACTCACACGTGCATTTAAGTTGTTGGAAACATAGGCATGGCCAAGGAGGGTGCGAAAAATGCTCAACGGGAAGGCTCTGGCTTAGTATTGGCTATTGAGTGAGAGGTGGCTCAACAGACAGAATTGTGACAATTTCATCAGCGACAAGGTGAATTTTGTTTATTATCACTGCGCTGGTCATATTTCCACTTCGATTATGTATTCACTCCACCTTCACTTGCATTGGTCATTAAAATCTATCAGTCTTCAAAATAAACATCAACATTAGGCCGTCTCAGTTTCCATGTATTCTCTGAGAAACTATACATCATTATTGACTATGATACACACAAGGAAGAGACAAAAGTAACACAATCACCAATATGACATAACACAAATCTCTATGCATACTGGTCAATATCACTAGAGACATGAAAAACATTCACAGAGATCGAAACAACAATCGATGCATCCAAAACAAGCGAGGCCAGTGCAGAGTTGCGAAAGAACGACTGCGCACCGGTCATTCACATAGGAGCAAGTTTGGATGAAGCACATGCAACAGATACGATCCAGCAGCATGCTGCAACAGTTCGAAGCTGCCTTGACCAAGACACCCGCACCATCGGATGGCTTTTCTTCAAATCCTGGTGGAATATTTTTCACTGTTGCAGTCAAGTTACCGAAGCCTTTACCCAAACTTCCCAGCAAAATTACCCTCTGGCCCTTCAAGTCCAGCATCTTATTGAAGTTCACTTTTTCAGGCACCTGTTTTAAAGCGAAGATAATGACCTTATGTTGATGAAGAGAAGCAGAGATTTGAAATCAGCTTCATCACTTCTGATATATTCCAAAGTTAGCTACATATGAGTACATAAACGGGATTG